TGTTTTGAGGACTCAGATTTTGAAGGCCGGATTTTGGGACGGTAGGAGTGGGCCAGTTGGATCCACCAAACGGCACTAGGAAAAACTAGCACAAATCCAAGATGCTCGGTAATGTTGGCTAAAGATGAGCACAATACGTCGGTTGTGTCTGAGGCGGCAAAAAGAGTCCTTGTGCCGGTAATTGCCCGAATTTCGCGCAAACGATGCGCACCTAGATGTTTTCGGGTCAAGATTTATGGATTTGGACCGAAAGAAACGCGCTTTTCAGGGGCTACTGGAAAGGGAGAAATAACGGTATATCTTTTTTTGGCATTAACTTATCGAAAGCAGGAGGAATAGCGAGCTCAGTGTGTGACGGTTACTTTAAGTCAAAAAATGTCGATTTACTCTTTATCTAATTTGTCCAAGTAGGGTAGGTAGGTACGTCGAAGGCAATAGCGCAAAGTGCGTAACCGGCGCGAAGAACTGAACTCGAATTGAGCTGTATGAGAGCAGTAAAAGGAGGAGAAAATGCGGTTCACATTGCGGATGCGACGCGTCGTCGTACGAAGAACAGCCATTAAGGCGAACTGTTGTGCCTAAGAGTCTTAGATTTTAGCTCGATATTACAAAAGCTTTTTTAAGCCGCTCAAGGGCGAGCGTAAGATACTTGCGTGTTAGTAGTATGGTAGTAAAATATTGAAATATCATTCCGTAATCGTTTTTTTAATTCTTGTCTCCTTAGTGCTTTTACGAGGAAGGGCTTATCAAAGATATAAAAGTATTAAGATGCGGGTATGAATATAGTAATTAAGATTTATTAAATTGAAAATATAAAATCGAGAAAAATCTATAGATATTGTAAATTTTTATTTCCAAAATATATATTTAGTAAGGTTATAAAATTTTGTGTTTATGAATTTCTAGGAATTGGTAGGTATTTAATATAATTCTTTCAATGTTGTATCATGATTTTATTACGATTTTATAATAAGAACATAGTATATAAGATAGTGTAGAATAATAATTAATAATTAGTAGAATAATTAAGTGATTATAAGATAATTAATAATTAAAGCTTATATAACACTTAAATAAGTTCCTCCAATATTATAATATAAACCGGACTACTATGTTTTAGTTTAATGTAGTTATTCAGCTTTACGATGTATTTGATTAGTTAATTTCAAAAAAAATAATCTTTTATACTGTATTTTAAATAGTCTTTCCAACTCTCTCATTAAATAATAAATAGAATAACTAAAACGTTTAATCTTGATACTTTTCGAAAAGTATTAATTTTGAAGTTAATTTGATAATTATTATAAAATATTATAAATAATAATTAATTAATTAATTAGTATTAATAAAGTTTTGTTATATTTTATTTAAACTTTTCTTGTCGCGCTTTAATTATCCTAATAATGTATGTCAACTTTTTTAATTGCCTTAAATCCTGAATTGAACAGCCAAACAGTCACACAGGATTTAACTGGATTTATCATGAATGTTACCAAACAGTTTTCAGGATTTAACCTCCCAGGATTTCGTAAATTCGGATTTGGAGGATTTACGAAATCCTGCTTAAATGAAATCCTGGATTCTACCAAACAGCTCCTTAACATGGTGATTGTTTATCCCGAAAAGTTGATATTTGCGAAGAGGTGCTTTAATTAATTAATAGCATTAAGACTTTAAGATTGGGACTAAACTGGTGGTGAATGGTGATGCTATGGGCATAGGTGAGCCAAGCCATCTTATGAGTTAATTAGGGCTTAATTTGATAAATGGCTCATGAGCTGGGCTTAATAAGCTAGCAAGTCGGATTTGAGCCAACCTTGATTTGATTTGTTAGCTCAAGAGTCGGCTTACTTAAAAAATATTAATTCAAAATATATAAGCATTCAAAATTTTATATAAAGTTGTTAAAAATATTCAAAAATTATATCTCAATTTCTTATTTTAATTGATTCTTCATTTTTTTGGGTAATTTTTCATTTTTTTTTTTCATTTTGCTATAGTGACGGTTTGAATCATAATAATTTTCTCTCTTTTATATTAAATGATCTGGCTCAAACTTGTAGAATAAAGGTTGAGCTTGAGCTCGAATTTTATTAATCAATTAAGCTAAAGATCAAATTAAGATTAACTCAAGCTCGACTTTACTCATTTACACTCGGTGACGCCGTCAATTAATAAACATCATAGAAATACATATTCAGACTTTCAATTTATTTAATATCATATAAATTGATTATGTGTAATTTAGAAGGACTAATGGCGCCTATGATCATAGAATTTTAAAGATCGATATATGGAGTGTAATTTAAGTAATAATAGGTCTAGTGGGATGATTGTGACTTTTGGTGATCAAGAATTAATAAGAGTACACATTTTTGATATCTTGGATCTATTGTTCGGAGTGATTTTGAAATAGATGGGGATATTTTTAGAAGAATTATAGTTGGGTGGTTGAAGCGGAGGAATGTATCGGGCTTGTTGTGTGATAGAAAAGTCCATCTCAAACTTATGGGAAAATTCTATAAGGTGGTGTTTAGACCTGCAATACTTTATGTTGCAGAATATTGACCATTAAAAAAGAAGCATAATATTAAGTTAAGTGCTGCAGAGATGAGGATGCTCAAGTGAATGAGTTGCTTTACACTTAGAGAAAGAATTCGTGAAAAAAGTTGGTGTAGCTCTAATGGAAGATAAGATTAGATAGAGTCGATCTTAGATGATTTGATCAGATAAAATGGCGTCTTTCCAATGATCCAATTATGAAAGTAGATGTATTAGATTTAACTTATATTAAAAAAGGTAGTATTAAGCCTAAAAATATTTGATTAGAAAATATTAGAAATGATCTTTCTTTATTAAATTTAAATGATAATTTAACTCTTAACATTACACAATACAGAAAAATGATTCATGTAGCCTACCTCATATAATGGGATAAAAGCTTAATGTTATTGTTGTAATGAGATCATGTCACTCTCCACACAGATTTACGTATAAAATGAGAATGATTTTATTTAAGTTTATCAATTAGCATTCTCACAAAATTATTAATTAATTAATTACCCTATCACAGCCTTAGAATTTACTTATCTCTGCTCAAAAATATTAATTAAATTTTGAACAATTAATAACAAAAAAATAAGATATTGAAAAAGGACTAGAAAATAAATGTTAACGGTCATTTTTCTAATTCTCTCATACTTCTATCTGTTGAATGAAACTGTTATAAAATCTCAATTTAATATAGAAGATTTAAATAATGGCCCTTTTTTTTTATTAAGTCAACACAATATATATTATGCAATATGATTTGATTTAGGTAGGTTATAATGATCCTAACATAAATCAGATTAAGTTATCTGAATATACATAAAATAATTAAAGAGGATATTATAAAAAGAAATAAATTAAATGAGTACAATTAAAGCATTTATTTTTTATAACCCCTAAAAATGATGCTCCAATCAGATAGCTCAATCATGATACTTAAGACTTTGCTTGGAATAGCTTTCTTATTGGTTTTTAAAGTATATTTTTAGAACAAAATTTTTTGAACTAGGATTTTTTGTACTAGAAAACTGTTTTAGAAAGCTATCCCAAACGAAGCCTTAATGTGAAGGTGCAAGAGATTTTGTGAGTACATTTGCTAATTGATCCTCGAATACACCATTTTAGACTTATTCTTGAATAATATGGTAACAAACATGTATATGGTTATAAATGAGTAAAATATAAGATTCATATGAGTGAGACCTATATTATCATAAGAGACCATAGGGGGCTAAGAAAGTAATTCACTTAGCTCGATTGAAGAATAAGTGTTGGTGAGATAGAAAGCGAAAGAGTAATGAGAAGCATATACATCATTGATCTTAATGTGAGCAAGGAGATCAAGAATATATCGACAACGAGATAAGTGAAGCTTATGTAAATATTAAAATATATAATAAGTTTTGCATTAAAAAAAAAAAAAAACTTGTGCAATGGCCCAAGATTCTTGATAAAGAATAGTTGGGCGAGAAGAGTGACAAAGCATTACAAAACAATATATGAAGTTACTTGTGATAATGATCCCATCAATATAAATGATATGACATATAAATTTATCACAAGCAATGATATGATAAATAAAGACTTTTCATCTATTAAGTTGGGAAGCCAAAAGTATCTAAAAAATGCTATAGCTAATGGTATTAGTCATAAGGTGCTTGCTTAAGATCATAAATGATTTTGTGAAACTTATAAAAATATGTAATAGCACATATTTAAAAAAAAGGCATTTTTGACATTGAGTTGACATAAATGCTACTGCTAACAAGCTAAAAACCAATCTTTTAGTGGTTGGCTTTACAACTAGACTAAAAGTGCCAAGTAGTCAAATTCTTTGCCATTGGTAAAAATCATTAGCCAGCAATCAAGCTTTGTGCCTACCAATAAGAGCTAGATATTTTATTTTGAATAAAAGCATCATATTCTTCGATAAGGCTCAATGCCATTGTAATATTTGAGTGCTAAATTATGTTAGTTGTTTTATGGGTCTCTTTCTCTCTCTCTAGTGATTGGCTACGGGAATAAATTATTTTATATTTTTTGTCGACTGTTAATTTTGATTTTATGGGGAACTTGTGTTGACTTTATATCTAGAGATCAACCAAATTGAGCCACATCAACAATACCAAGCCGTGGTATCGAGCCACGGTACTGACATGACTCATTCTGATTAATCTCCGAAATGCCCGATCGCCATTCGGCGTCCGCATATAATAATTTCTCAAAGAGGGGGAGGATACATGCTTTGCTATCATATAAAAATATTAAAATAATGATTATCATTTTTAATTAACTCTACAAAATATATAATTCAATTTAAATATATTATAATAACTCTACATAAATTTAGGCTAGAAAGGGAGCTTATTTATTTATTTACTCCCGATACCATTTTAACTAATTTTACGATCTAATAAAATACATCATAAGAACAATGAACCACATGGCTATTGATTCCCGAAAGAAAATCAAATCATTAACAATTCCAAACAATTGTGAATAAACAAAACACCATTTTCCGACTATATAGCAAACAATCTACAATAACACAAATCATTGAACACAAAAATGATGAGAGTAAGTGTGGAAAAATTGGCTTTGGGTCAGCTAAATTATAGGCAAGATTTCGAGCCCAATATCCTACAAATATGCGACATAAATGAATAAATCGTAATTGATATTAACTTTCCTCCCTTATGACAGCTTATATCATATTCAGGTTTCGTACTTCCAAATATGCGACGCCCACCCAATTGAACAGAGTTACGAAACCATATAGTATAGCCCCTGCAGCACCAGAGGTAGGAAATAATTAGACATGCATGGCGGCAGATTTACTGTGAGAAACAGAAAGCACTTAAAGTTTAATTGATATTGAATATTATGAACAGACAAGGAATGATAGTATTATTATTCTTTAGACATGAAATTTAATAACAAAAAAATATGCACTTCCCTATGAATCCTGCTACTACAACAAAAATCAACTTCATTGACACGAATTTTGATACATAATTAAATTAAAGACTTATAAAATTAAATTTAGGATGATCCAAATTTTAATTTCAGAGTAGTTATAATCAAACTAAATGACTACAGCAATAACATTAAGTCTTTATCCCACTACGTGAGGTCGATTACATGAATTATTTTTCTTCAATTGTCATGTTAAGAGTCAAATTCTTATTTAATTGTAATAAAGAAATATCATTTTTAATCTTTTGTAACCAAGCTTTTTTATGGATACTTTTACCTTTCTTACGATAAGCCAAATCTAATACATCTACTCTTCATACTGAGTCATCAGAAGGCCACCGTTTTATGTGACCAAACCATCTAAGGCAACACTCTAATATTATCTTCCATTGGAGCTACTCATATATTTTCGCGTATATGCTCGTTTCGTATCATGTCTCTAAGAGTAAAGCCGCTCATCAACTTGATTATCCTCATCTCTGCAACAATTAATATAATATTATTCTTCTCTTTTAATGGTCAACATTCTGCATCATAAAGCATTGCAAACCTCACCACCATTTTATAGAATTCCCTTAAGTTTGAGGGGGACTTCTCTATCACACAACAAGCCTGATCCATTCCTCCACTTTAACCATCCAACTTGAATTCTACTAATAATATCCCCATCTATTTCACCATCACTTTGAAGAATAAAATTAAGATATATAAAATATGTACTCTTATTAATGACTTGATCGCCCAAAGTCACACTCCCCATACTAGATCTATTACCACTAAAATTACATTTCATATATTCAAATTTTTATCTACTCAAACAAAAAACTTTAGACTCTAAGGTTGACCTCCATAATTCAAGTTTACCTTCAACTCCCTCTCTAGTCTTATCAACAAGAAGAATATCATCAACAAAAAAACATACATCAGGGTACAACCTCTTACAAATGTCTAGTGAGAACATCCATTGCTAAAGCAAAAAAATATAGGCTTAAGGCTGATTTTTTATGTAATCCAACTGAAATAGGAAAAAAATTGGTAAAACCACCTTGTGTTTAAATACAAGTAACAACTCCTGCATACATATTATTAATACCTTTCTTTTCTAGAACTCTCCATAACACTTCTCTTAGAACTTTATCATATACTTTCTCTAAATCAATAAATATCACATATAAATCCTCCTTATTTTCTCTATACTTCTCCATCACACCTCTCAATTAATAAATAGCTTCTATAGTAGACCTACCCGCATCAATCCAAATTGATTTTGAGAAACAATTAGATTCACATTCGCTACCTAAAGCTCCATAACTCTCTCCCATAGTTTTAAAGTATGACACATTAACTTAATTTCTCTATAATTTGTACAATCTTCTGCATGACCTTTATTCTTAAAAATAAGAATCAACACACCCACTCTTTACTCATCTGACATCTTTTTATTCTTCAAAAAAATATTAAAAAGTTCATAAAGGCAATGACTTCTTTATCTCCTAATCATTTTCACACCTCTATTTTAATATCATCAGGTACAACAACGTTTTCACACTTCATTTTCTTTCTTTAACTTCGATGTTACTAATACGCCAATAAAAATATAAATTTTTATTTTCATTTAGGATGCTAAGATCACTAAAGTCAACCGTATTCTCACATCTTCATTGACAAGTTTAGTAAAATACTCATCACCTTTGTTAAATATCCACTTTTAATAAAAGCGCTTTTTTATATTCATCATAATGCACTTCTCTTGAACAAAATCCTTACAAGTATCTCTTTGTTTAACTATATATAATATATATATAGATATATATATATATATATTATCTTTCACTCCCTTTAAATTCTTATATATTATGTAAATTATTAAAAACTAAAATCTTTGCCCTGCATATTATTTTCTTAGACTCCTTATGAGCCTTTGTATCTTTCTTAATTATAAGAATTTTTACATTTAAACCAATTTTTATAATAAAGCTTTTTATTTTTTATCTTTTCTTGCATATTTTGATTCTCAACCACCAACTATTATTATTAAGAGTTTTTCTCTATGATACTCCAAGTACATCCTTTGCAACATTCTTAATATTATTGACTATTTTTTCTAACATAACATTAACCTCCTCATGCACAGACTAAATCTTAAAATCTAGAATCCTACTATAAAAAATATATCATACTATCAAAAATATTTTTGTTAATATTATTTAAATGATCCATCTAATCCTAGAATAAAGTTTTACATTATTTTTATATTTTATCCCTTTATCTCAAAATCCAAAAGTAATAAGCAATATAGGATACATAAATGTTCGCTTGAAATAACTTTACAATCTTTGCAATATAAAAAATCTATTTTTTCTTACAAGAAAATAATCAATTTGAGTTTTAACTATATCTATTCTTATAAGTGATAAGACGCTTATCTCTTTTCTTAAATAAGATATTAGCAATTATAAAATCATAAGTTATAGAAAAATCTAATATGATATTATCATCATCATTAGTCTCTCCAAACCAATAACCACTATAAATGCTTTTAAAATCACTTATCTCACTACCAACATGTCCATTTAAATTTCCTCCAATAAAAAGTCTTTGTTCAAGAAGTATTTTTTGTATTAATTATTCTAAGTCATTCCAAAATTTTAATTTTGAACACATGCCTAAACCTATTTGAGGAGCATAAATATTTATAATATTAATAATCTTAGCATTAACAAAAATATTTTAAAGCTATAATTCTATCTCAAATTATATTAATTTTTATAACATTATCCTTCAAACTCTTATCTATAATGACACACATACCACTTTTAGTACGACTCCTATTAGAATACAATAGTTTAAATCCTAAATTATCACTCTCCTTAGCCTTCTTCTCCAACCCATTTAATTTATTGAATGCATAATATTTATCTTCATATGAATCATAATATATATTAATTTCATTAATTTGCATGTAATTTTCCTGTAAGGGAACATATATTTAAAGTTTTCATCCTATTTTTAATTTCACAAACTAGCTTCTTTGTCCACATTAACCCATGATGTGGGAACTCTTATCTATTTAACACAACAACCAGGCGTTAGTGCAGCGGTCCTTGCACATTTCTCGCTATATTTAGGTCACATACAGCGCGTCGCTTCTAGAGAACACATAGCATTAACATAATGTATTAACGAAATCATATCATGATTATTTGATAAATTTTATACAGTCCGTCAACTACCTAATGCAACCCTCCACTTTTCTCATCCAATCCTTGAGACCTGACAACGACAGTGTTTACTCAATGAGACAAATCCATCGATATCAAAAGTGATGCAATTCGACTCTAAATAAGCTCAAATCAAGAACTTATAGTGAAATTGATAAGTTTATGACATTATTTGGAAGGACAAAAAGATCTCTAAATATTAGATGCTTATAGTAAAATTAATCATCTCAACGAGAGCAATCTCAAGAGTGTAAGATTGCCTAATTTCAATGTTATTAAGGCTCTTAAATACTGAATAAATGGTCTATAAATAAGGAAATCAAGACATGCCATTTGATAGAGGCATCAGAATTTTGATTAAATTTACAGGAACATCACCCTTAAAAATATATAGATAGACTTTTAAACTTCACATGAAATGGGGCTAAGACCTTAGCTTGAAATTTAAGGGTGCTCCGAGGATTTATGAAACTTGACTCCACCTGAGCATCACCGTCTGACTGTTGCCATCCAACCTCATTGTTGGAGCATCACTGTCTACCCATTGCTATCTGACAGTTGCCATTGGGCCACTGCCTGATTGCCGTCATCGTTGGTCCTCCAACCACCATCATTCAATTACAGACCTCCAATCATCCAACTTAGTCTCCTAGCTATCTTCACCCGATTACAGTCTTCCTAACACAATCGCTCAACTACCGTCATCGCTCGACAACAGTCCTTTGAGTGTCGTCGTTCGACTATGATCCTAAGCTTACTGTCTCCTGAATATGATACTTCAACCATCACTGTCTAACTATTATCCTTCGACAACACTGACATATGCTAACTTTATTACCAACAACGTCAGCATATACCATCATCTATAAAGTTGATGCACACCATCGACACTAACTCTGACTTCCAATATCAACACCAAAATTTATGCTATATTTTTTAGTCTCTAGTTTCCTCTTCTCAAAAGAAAACAACAACAAAAATATCAAACAATCTATTGAAGATAGCTCATATCCCATAGGGCATTTCCAACCTCTATAAAAAATCTATTATATATAGTTTATTATGTCTACTATATTGTATCAATCTCTTTCCATATCATAGGAATGAGCAATTTGTAATTAATGACAAACATCGGTAAAATAATTTCAATAAGGTTATGCCCCATAGTTTCTCTTTTTTCGAGTTTTTTACATATGAACTCTAGTATCTCTTATAACTTCTCTTTTATTTGTATGTGTTGGATCTTCATATAAAGCCAAAATGTTGATCACTCTCTACCACCTCGAATCCTCTAACACAACAACTTGGCTTAGTCTATGACTATGAGAAGTGATTCTTAGCTAGGGGGCAACCCTTTCTATAACCTCAAAATGTCGTTCATGCCAACATTATGGGCATGGATATAATAGCGCAACCCTTTGTCATATCCATTAAATAACATGCACAAGAATAGCGAAAAGCCACATGCATCATTGTAGCAAGTTAACTTTCACATGCATTATAAGTTGTTAGACAGCCATGAAGTCATCAAAGAGACTTCTCATACGAGCAATCTAAATTTTCAAATGGAAAAGAGTTTCTACACCTTGACTTTATGCTAAAATCTTTACTATGGTAAACCATGAATTCCAAGAAGAGAAAAAGAAAAGAAAAGTACGACCACTGCTGGATTATAGATGCCAAAATCTCCTATTTGATCTTGAGAATATAAAAGGCAGACTTGAAAGACTTCTATTCAAAGATTGACCTTTTATTTTACAGTGGGCTGTAACAAGGACAAAATAAAAACAAACTTTCATGGAACACAACAGTCTAAAATTTATTTGGGTCACATCAATTTCAAATGAGGTTAAATATAGTGCAAAGATAACACGTTCTATCATGATTCATATCATGCTAGCTCCTATTCGCATCTTTGGGCTTATTAAATGAGATCTGCCCAAAAAAGTTGTCACCATTAATGCAATATAAAGTGCAAACTACAGGAATAGAACTTACATGAGATATGTTTACTATCTTCGTGAGATCACCCTGACTCCAGAAGCCCTGGAAAAACGGGGCAATAAGCACTGGTGGGAAGGTATGGTCAAGAGATAGGCAGATAATTTACAGAAAAGAGATGAACCAAGCTTGCTAACCTATGAAAATAGCTACCTTTCTGGTTTCTTTCCTCCAAAAGTAATCCTTCCGTTTGTTGATGCATTGTTCGAACCATTTCCAGTAAGATGGCTTAGAGTTAACGGATCAGAGGGCGTATTAGATGTCAAACCACCTTTTTCACCAGAATTCTTTCTGCTAGAGACAGCTATGTCTGCCAACCCTTGAACAACATTAATGCTTACGCCGTTTTGTTGTTGAACATGTGTTTTTGGAACCTGAGAGTACTTATCAGATAAATTCCCAGTGTTGTTCATAGCAACATCTTTTAAGAATGAAGCCGAACTAACAGGTTTAGAATCAACTGAGAGAGATTTTTTATTGCGACTGCTCTGAGAAATTGGAGTGACAGCAACTGAAGGAAGTAGTGAAGAATTAGGAGCCGATGATGCAGCAGCAGCCGCAACTTTTGCCACAGCTGCAGTAGCTGAAATAATTTCTTGAGCTCCTTCACAGAGATGAATATAGTCTTCTTCAATGACAAACAACTGAAAGCAAATGCCTGGAATTATCCTAACAGCAAAAATAACAGATAATTGTTCAAGAAGTTCAAAAGAGGATATGGACACCTACTTCAGGATGACGACCAACAAAATCATGAAGCTTTCCATAATGTTTCTTGTAATCATGCCAGTGAAGAGGTGCAAGCATTTTTCCAAGCCTATTTGGCAACTATAAGCAACAGAGTAATAAGCAGAAACAATTTATGATAAAGTTGGTAAAATCAAATAGTAGTTCATTAAGTTCTCAAAATAATAATAATTCTTACAGTGGTGCTAATTCTAATTCGACCATCAGAACCAGCTGGAATTGCACGAACAATGCAAGCCAAAAGTGCTCGTTCATCCATAAGAACAGGCTCCTTTGCCGTATTGGTAGGCATTGAGCTTAACGCTCCGCTAACACGAACAGGAGGTGCAGGAAATACCAAGTTATCCTCAATGCATTCTACAGCACTGCAGGTACCAACGGCGTGACTTAGAGCAGCACTTACAGCCACATTAGAAGCTGACCACTCTTGACCCAAGTCCAAAACTTGCTGATGTGGTCCATTAATTTCTGAGTCTGCATTTTGATCTGGGACCTATAAATTATATAAAAAAAATCGTAAGCACTTCTCAGCAAAAGTGAGAGCTATTTTAAAATTGTAAAAAGTCAAATCCTATTAAAGGTAATATGATATAATGAGCTTTAAGGCAATAAATTAATGAAAATGACATAGTTACTCAAACCTTCTGTTCATTCTTCGGCTCAATTGGTTCGACTAATGGAGCATTAAGTTTAGAATTCATGTTTGGATTCGCCTGCCTTTCTTTAGAAATTTGATTAATTATATCATTAGATTCAGGGACCTGATATGAAGTTTTAAAAGGCTTAAATCTTAAGGAGGGTTTAGGATTGATAATCAACAGAATAGGAAAGAAACAAAAGCATCATTCTAACCTTCTTTTGTTCATTTGACACAAATGTTTCAGAAGCAGACCTTTGTTGTTGGTTCATGGGAGAGCTAAGATATTCTGGATGAACTAAATTCAGTGAAGCAGAACGTTCATGGCTATATTGAGAATGAGATCCAAGTAGATTATGCTCCAACTGGGACAGATGGTATTTGTCTTTGTTAGGATCCTGAGAAACTTCTTGTATTACCTACAAAAGAATCAAAGGTGGCATTTGAGATGCCAAACCAAACTTAACTGCTAGTCTGAAAATTAAAAAAGATTCGAAATTTGAAAGAATGATTACCTGCTGCTCCTGCCAATGTTGGGCTGGCATTACAGACATTGATTGAAGGTGGCCTGCATGAGATTGAGGAATGATAGAATCTGCAGATGATATGGATTCTGGAACACCTTGTTGATGAATGACAAAAGGATGCAAAGTGGCCATCTGGCCAACAGGAGCGAAGGCACCCATCCCAAGTACAGGAGGAAGAACAGGGACTAGTTCAGTCTGGAGAAAGACATTTTTTAAAATCAGAGTTCCAACCTTAAGATTTTATCAAATGTAAATTCTACAATTCATCAAAAGGAAAGAAAATAGACAGCATGAAGATTTTACCCTGTTCAAAAAAAGCATATATCAAAAACTGCAAAAAATAAACACAAATTACTCCATTCGAGCTCCAATCAAATGCCACAAATATTATCAGCTAAGCAATATAGATTAATATGAGGAACATATTTATATGAAAGTTTGCTTGTATGGTCTTGAAGACTTGAACCAGTTGTATTTCAGGCACCATACACAGGAGATAATAACGAAAGAAGCTTACATCAAGCAAGTACTTATCACATTAAAAGTCAACCAGTGAGTACAAAACAATTACTTTGTAAATAGACTTCAAGATTTATAGAGAAAGCATGCATGAAAGGTCATTCATGCCATGAATGTGATTGTGATATAACAAGGAAAAATAGACAAAATGCTAACAAACATTTTCAGATTAGTTGCACAGTGAATGTGATTGTTGCAAACACAAGACCTTTCAGATCAAATAAGTTGCGAGAAAAATAAGTAGGCCAGAGTAAATGATTGGGGAAGAACTTATTGAAAGAAAATTTTAAATCACAATGTTGGGTAAGAAGACCAAGCCATCATGAATCCATAAATAACGACTTATTGTCAATTGGATGACTGAAGATCTGAGATAGGGAGACATGAAAATTGGATCATTGGATTACAGGTTGATGACAAGGACAACATAATGCAAACAAAGAACTCACGCGCATGATTTAGATAGCCATCAAGGAGACAAAAAAGAAGCCCAATAAAATAATGTGGAAGCCCAAAAGAGAACGGAGGAATCCAAAAAATATTTATGAAGGCCTTGGATAAAATCCCAAGCCAACCCAAGCCGAAATTATAATCATGAAAGATGTTAAACTTTTAGCCCATATTTTTTAAATGTAATTTTTTTTTACTTGAGCCTTTTCTATTTTTGTTTAGGCAGCAAGATAGCCTCGGGCAACTTAACTTGTGTAACCTGCAGCAAATTAAAATAAAGCAACCACAAAATATAATTTAGTTTCTTAAAATATTGATGAAATTCAATGGGGGGGGGGGGGGGGGGGGGTGGAGTTCTTTGAAGGTGGAGGATTCCCTTACTAAAGATTTTGCTCAAATAATAAGCATAAAGGTTGGTTCACAAAAGGTAGTAGGCTAGGTAATTTGTACAAAGTTAATCTAGTTGAAACTTCACGCTATCAGTAATGATTTGAATATAACATATAAAAAATTCATGAGGTCAACTTGAATCTAAATCACCAAATTAAATAAATAAAATCAACTTTCTAAATAAGAATCGCACCAATTGTTAGAAGAAAATCAACCAAAAATGCGCCTCTTCAAAGTGGTAGTTTCCTTCCTCCTGACTCCTTGCTTGGCTCTAATGCCAAATGGAGTCTGGACACCAAAGGATGGTGGCCCATTGATATGAGGAACTTCTTGACTTTCAAAATGTTGCTAGGGAGGTGATTGAATGGTTGTTCAAGCTTTGTACTTGAAAGAAGTGTTGCATGCAAAAGTTGAGGCTAGTTTGGAGACCTTGCAAGCAATGGAGCTAGTCAAAATTGAATGTATTTGGGAGTGGGTTAAAAAATATCTTCTTTGCTGTTTAAGGCCCTTGGGGATTAGTTGAGGTGGTGGAGGGTTGATCTGGAGTTTATAATAGAATGTTAAGGCCATTAGAAAGATGTGGTGGTGGAAGATCCAAGACTAGTTCAATTTGGACAAATTTGAGTTAATTTGATTTGGTTCTTTAGGAAATGGGTCTAATGAATTCTAAATGGAGGATATTACATGCGTGTGAAGGGCCAGTGTAAGATATGACATCATGATATGGAGTATGTGGGCTTATTTGGAGTGGGCTATGATGGGTTAATCAAGCAGAAATAGGTAACTAGTCTGAATACATGTGATAGAGGATTTCGTGTAATTGTAGTGGAGGCTAAGATGGAAGTGTAGGAACTAGTTTAGTGGCTATTTATAGTGTAAGGAATGTGGTGGAATGTAGAGAAGAGTTATTGGGTAACTACAAATGTAGTTTATCGATGGAGAAGCCGGATTTGCAATGACTAGGTGAAGGAAGAGTAGTTATTGTCGTCATCTATGGGGAGGCTTCCAAGCCACTTGCATCTAAGGTTGAGGCTTAGAAGAGGGGTAAGGGGCTAGTAGGACTGCTAGAATTATAGAGAAAAGTATTCCTTCATGAGTGATGGAAGAGATCTAGAGGGAGGATGAAGATTATAACTTTCACTAAGACGTGACGCTCCAAGAGAGGGAGGGCCACCAAGCACAAAGAACTCTAAATTTTGCAAGCAACCAAAAATTAATTTCTCATTTTTTCATACTCCTATTCATAGCCTAATGCAATTCATTCAAAATTCAAATGATCATGGAGGGAAAATCTTATGGGGGTGAAAGTGGCCAATTAAGAAAGAGGATATAAAGCATTTATGACAAAATCCATGCCAGCAGTGCATGGCCACTACTTCCACTCACCTTCTACAAGTATCTTTACATCTCGCACATGCTTATAGCATTTAAAAAAAAAACAAAAACAAAACAAAAAAGACATTTTAAAAAATTCAAAATATGGGAAAAAAATTGAGCATCCATAATGATAAAAGTTTGGGTTAGGGCCTAGCTTGGGACCTTAACCAAGGCCTTCGAAAATTTATTTAGGCTTTTGATAGGAAACACTCGTAGATCTCAAGTATTTCCTATCAATCTTCAGAAAACAATGAGAATTCTCCACACAAAACAAAAAAAAATAGTAGATAATTTATATTATTTTATGAAATAGAAACGAAAAATAGCAAGATACAGTTGATCCTCAATTCGAGAGGAGGATCATTCTCTCCCAAATCTCTAGACACCGCTAGAGCCCAAAAACCTAAACCTAAGAGATCTCAAACTTCAGCCAAATTCAAGATGCCCTAACCCTAAGAAAACAAATTATTAAAAGCATACAATCCAAAAGGAAATCCCTAAATAGTTCCTACATTCAAATTTCACTCCTCACTCCCTCAAAAATTCTTTCCAAAAAGCTCCACTAGACCAAGCGGCTTGAACGGCATGTACGGGAAGAGGCGAAACTCTTCCGCCTGTTCCTCCTGAGCTGGTCGAATGGACCGGTCTAACAATACTCCCCTCCCAAGTTATTGAAAAAAAAAATAACAACAACAATAATTAAAATTTGACTAACTCCGTCAAGGAACAACCTTATCTATAACTCCACAATATAGAAACAACTTCATAGGGCAAAACTACAAAAATAGGCCCTCATTGATTCATGTGGCCAATGTAGTCCTAAAGTATCATATTTTCTTCAAATTTAATCTCACAACTATACAAAATGGATCCAACATGATCCCTTAGGGACTAAATTGGAATCAATTTATATAATAATCTATACATGAGGGAAGAAAGCATAATAGACTGATTGATCTCAATATTTATTCCCTCCTTTTACCAGAACATTTTTTTGTCATATTCAATAGAAGATAGTATCCATATCTCAAATTATGGATTATACAAAATTACATGATCTAGATCTATTAGTATAATGTCACATAGTACCACATCATTAAAATCTAAAGAGAAAGAAAACATAAAGTTTAACATCTTAGCTTTGTACGAAATCCAGCATACAAACAAATGAAATATTGAGGTATACAATGTTCATATGAGACACTAGAATTTTTATGGGGAAACCCCTGAAAAGCTTTGAAAAATCACAGGGTCTTGCCCAGTTTAAATGAATTCACTAGTGTTTGCTGTTGATTACAAATGAGAACCTTCCATAGTCTGGAGATGTTGGTCAGAGAGAACGTAATTGACGGGCAATGGAGGTCAGAAAGACCGTAGTCAGGTGATGGTGGTCGGAAGGACTATAGTCGACGAACGACGGATGTCAAAAAGATCGTAGTCAAGCGACGATGGTTGGGGAGACCATAGTATGGAGATGTTGGTTGAAGAGACCGTATTCGGCGGGCGAAGGAGGTCGGAAAGACCGTAGTCGAGTGACGGTGGTTAGAAAGACTGTAGTTGGCATGCGACGAAGGTCAAAAGGACCATAGTAGGTGATAGTGCTCAGAAGGACCGTAGTTGGCGAGCAACGAAGGTCGGAAAGATCTTAGTGGGTAACGGTGGTCGGAGGGACCATAATTGGTGCAACAAAAAAAAACACTCACGCAATTTAAGATTGCAAACTAAGAGTCATCCTTACCATAAATATAGACAAACACATATATAATATAACAATACTATAACACAACATCTTAGAACTTATATATTAAGAGAATAAATATACATATGGGTTGAGAACTGAGGATAGAGAAGAAGAGGTAGAAGATCGAGATGAAATAGTAGAGGGGAAGGTGAAAGGAGGCTAGCTCGCAAGCTAGAACAAACCCACAGGTTTACATTCCAAAAACTATCACATATCCTACCTAAAACTGCCACAAAACAGTTCCATTTATAGGAGAAAAAAGGGGAAAAGACAATTAATACATGTAATTAATACACCTCCCAAACAGCCAATAGGAAAACCTAGAAAATTGCAGCAAAAAGGGACCAAAGGGACAGCCTCCAAGGGGAAAAAACGAAGCATCCACATAGTATGAGAGGGGGGGGGAGAACCGAAGCAACAACACAGCTGCCAAGGAGGGGGAAACCGAAGCACCAAGGGGGGAAAACCGAAGCATCAAGATAGCAACCAAGGGGCATCTTGATTGCATCAATAATCGGCAAGCGACGGAGGTCGAAAAGATCGTAGTCGGGTGACAGTGCTTGGAAGGATCGTAGTCCATGGACAATGAAGGTCAGAAAGACCGTAGTCAGTTGACGGTGGTCGGAAACACTATGGTTGGGCGATGGCAGTCGGGGAGACCATAGTCTATAGATGTTGGTCAGAGAGACCGTAGTCTGCAGGCGACGGAGGTCAAAAAGAACGTAATCGGGTGACAATGCTCCAAATGACTGCAGTCGGGCAACGGCAGTCGGGGAGACCGTAGTCTGGAGATATTGGTCGAAGAGACCGTAGTCGGCGGGCGACGGAGGTCGGAAGGACCATAGTCTGGTGACGGTGGTTGGAAGAACCATAGTCTGCGGGCTGCAGAGGTCGGAAAGATCGTAGTCGGATGAAAGTGTTCTGAAAGATCGTAGTCGGGCAACGACGATCAGGAAGATCGTAGTCTGGAGATGTTGGTTGGAGAGACTGTAGTCAGCAGGCAACAAAGGTCAAAAAGACTAGTCAGGTGACGGTGGTCATAATGACCATTGTCGGGTGACGACGGTCGAGGAGACCGTAAACTGGAGATGTTGGTCTGAGAGACCGTAGTTGGCGGGAGATGAGAGGTCGAAAAGATTATAGTCGGGTGACGGTGGTCGAAAGGATCATAGTCGGTGGGCGACGAAGGTCAGAAAGACTGTAGTTGGCAGGCAACGATGATTGGAAGGATCGTAATCGAAAGGACTGTAGTAGACGAGCGATGGCGGTTGGAAGGACCGTAGTTGATAGGTGACGGCAGTCGGAAGGACAGTAGTCGGCGGATGATGGTGATAACAGAGAAAGTAATCGACGGGCGACGGAGGTCGGAGTGGACTGTAATCGGAGATGCTAGTCAGAAGGAAGTCCAGTAGCGGTCAGCGGTCAGCGGCCAAGTGGAAGTCCGACGACAGTAGGTGGGGCAGAGCAAGCTTGAGAAAGCAAGAGAGATCCTTCATTTTTTATCTCTTCCTCCTTACCTTCATGTGAAGAATGAATGACTATTTATAATTTGTTGGTAATGACATGACCAATAAATAGGGAAAAAATCAAGGGCGGGTTCTCTGATGCCTCCTCTGATAAACGCGCCAAAATCTCCTTTTGATGTGCTCATCACATGTATTATAATAATTCTCCTTTATTTCAAAGGATACAATTGATGCTACGACCTCATTAAAATTCTGATAATCTCACTCCCAAACTAAAATCTTCTTGATAGATTATATTTGTTTTGTTTCTCTATAGGTATAACTAGCTATAACACTAGATTTTGAGAATATTTGCTCCTGCTTCACTGATAGTAATTTCCTTAGAATCTTTAATCAAAATATCATCTCCAATCTCTTCTTTGATTTCTTCCCAAGAGGATGTTCTTTATTCAATCTCAATCTTCCTCTATTTGATATTTAAAATTAAATATTTCATCCTCAAAAGATAGTTTTTTTTTTTCTAATTTCAAGAGAAGCCATCCATATATGATTCATGATTTTCAATTCTAGGCACAATAAACACCAGTCTCAAAGTTAGTTAGTTTTTTTTTAGAAAGGAACTGCATTAGTCCCTTGATTCTTTATGAAAGACCAACAATATTAAAGAACCATTTTGGCCCCTCAACTCTTCAAAGAGAAACCAAAATAGTCCAACCAAGGAATCAAATTAATCCCACCATGGGAGTATTTTGGTTCCTATTTAAGGACTTGAGCGACCAAAATGGTCCTTTAATTTGGGGATTGCTCCTTTATAAAGAGTTAAGGGTCCATTTTGGTCCTTTTTCCTTTTTTTCCTCTTAAAGATGATATTATAAAAAATTTTAAAACACTATACTTATGCTATCTTCAAGTTGATTCTTTTTTTTTTCAATCATCGAAAGTAATATACCATCTTGAAGGAGGGGAAAAGAAAAGTTTCATATAGCCTAAGGCAGAATTTCTTTGAATAAACACAACGAGAAAGAAATCCATCAACATTACTGAGGTCGAAATTCCGTAGTCGGACCATTTTGAATTAATATTGTTGGATTTAAACTTGAGCACTGAATGTGGAAGCATTCAAACAGCAAACTGTTGTGGTTATGGTTTAAGAAGTGGAGATGGTGTGGTGTCTTTTATTTTATCATGTTCCTCCATTAATTTCAGTATTGCTGACATAGTAATATAGTATATTTTCCTATGAATTCGTTGGACTTATCTTTCTTACTATTTTGGAATTATCTAGTTCTCTCTTACTGCCGCCTAGAGTTCCTGAACGCTTATTGCTCTAGATTAATAACATCCAAAAAGTTCCAGAACAGACGATCAAACAAAATAGCAGATAAAATATGCAATGCATGTTATGTGAACAACAATCACAAATAACTTGAATAAGAATGATGATGATTGCATCAACAAGAAGATTTATATTTACAAAATATGGGAAAAGCTTCCTTTTTTATGAAGTAACTAGCAAGAAAGGGCGTTTTGGAAATCAAGATGACAGAATAATATTTAAGAGAAAGATATAAGCGTTAGATAAGTCCAATCACAATTTTTCTTACTTCGGTAGAAGAACTGGAAACTCGAAGTTTTCCATCAGAGCCAAATGTCAAGCTACTGCTTAATACAGGGGCCTCATTTGCTTTCACTTGGTTCCCCTCGTTTTGCAGGTATGATGATGAATCAGTTTGGTTTTCATGAACAGTCTGGGAGCTATCCTGGTATACTGCACTCTTACCTCTCAACTCGGCAAGCTCCAAATGAAGTTGTTGTATAGTTTGCAGATGGTGACGTTCCATCTCCACAAACTAACATGAGGACACCAAAAAAAAAAAACAATTACAACGAAAGAACTGTGAATATGAAAATGCCAGAATCTGAAACAATCTAATGTTGGCATCCTAACAAGAATAAAGCAGCAACCAAAGGGTGCAGGCACAGATGCGTATTATAACTAGTTAATGCATACATTCTTACCTTCCTAGCATCTAAGAAAACAATAAGAACAATTTTTTTCTGTAAAGATAGACTAACTTGTTGCTGCAAAACAATCCAATATTGATTGAACTGTTCAGTGCGGTCACGAAGTTCAGCTTGTAAAGACCTGTTTGTTGTTATTTGCAAAGCATCCATCTCCTGAACACGTGCCATCCATGCCTGCACCTCCCTTAACTGCTCATCCTTGTAAAGGATTGTTTCTTGAGCAACTCTGTGCTGCAAGAAAATTATTAAAAAAAAAGTTAGTATTTCCATGTTCTATATGAACCATAAAGAGAGAAAGACATCCAACTCCAAAAAGAAAAATTGAAACTTATATGATCATTACATTATCATTTTCATTTTAATTATTGTATTATAGTAAAGTAAAAAAAAAAAATTTGACATGTTAAGTGGATAGTGATATGCACATATAACTTCTCTTGTGTGATCTACAAACATTTACATCATTCTAACTGCAACATTAGCAGCTTTGAAAGCAAATTAGTCAAATCTCAAACTCAAAAAGGAAATCAAAAGTGATGTTTTATCAAGAACTGTACCAAGTTAATCCTTCAAGATTCAGCAAAAAGTTTAACACAAGACACTTCACTAAATTCCTTTAATAGCTAACTAATTCTTAAAAAGCATGCTCATATCTCCCTAATCAGAATCAAACTAAGAGGAACATAAATCTGGGAATCAATCTAATATTGCCTCTTCAAATCCTTGGACTTGTTTGTTCAACTAGTAGGGTTTATGATAGGAAATACTTGAGTTTGCAAGTAACCCTAAGGTAATACTTGAGTTCGCAAGCAACCTATGACAAATTGGAGAGAAAACAGCAACAAAAATGCTGTTTACGGCAGTTTAACAGCCCCAAACAGTGAAAAACAGCAAGAAATTAAGTAGGAATCTGAAGAAAATCAAGCCAACCACTTGTATTTCACTAGTAGATGAAAGAAAACAATAACAATACAATATTCTTCAATTCAAGAGGAACAGAACTCTCCAAAATTTCTAGCCAAGAAGACTAGAGCCTAAGCCTCCAGGAAGATCCCAAAAAATCAGCCCAAATTCAAGATAAAAACCTAAATCCCCACCTTTTTCCTTCTTTAACATCAATCCCCACACAAAATTCCTAAACAGCCCTTCTATTCAAATTCAAACTCAAAAAGGAAATCAAAAGTGATGTTTTATCAAGAACTGTACCAGGTTAATCCTTCACGATTCAGCAAAAAGTTTAACACAAGACACTTCACTAAATTCCTTTTATAGCTAACTAATTCTTAAAAAGCATGCTCATATCTCCCTAATCAGAATCAAACTAAGAGGAACATAAATCTGGGAATCAATCTAATATTGCCTCTTCAAATCCTTGGACTTGTTTGTTCAACTAGTAGGGTTTATAATAGGAAATACTTGAGTTCGCAAGTAACCCTAAGGTAATACTTGAGTTCGCAAGCAACCTATCCCAAATTGGAGAGAAAACAGCAACAAAACTGCTGTTTACGGCAGTTTAACAGCCCCAAACAGTGAAAAACAGCAAGAAATTAAGTAGGAATCTGAATAAAATCAAGCCAACCACTTGTATTCCACTAGTAGATGAAACAAAACAATAACCATACAAGATTCTTCAATTCAAGAGGAAGAGAACTCTCCCAAATCTCTAGCCAAGAAGACTAGAGCCTAAGCCCCCAGGAAGATCCCAAAAAATCAGCCCAAATTCAAGATAAAAACTTAAATCCCCACCTTTCCCCTTCTTTAACCCATACAAAATCCCTAAAACACCATTCTATCAATTCCCGCCCCAACCGTCAAATTTCATCATGGGGCCCAAGGCTTTTTGACAATTAACTTTGATATTTGTCATAATCTAACTTGTGTTTTAATATAGCTAACTTTTATAGGAAATAAATTCAGCTCCATAGAATAGATTGCAATATCAAGTTTATCGTAGTTTGCTTACACAAAGCTTGAAAGATTCTGAAGATGAAATCTACAATATTATAATGCACGACACTGGTTCAGTATAATACTGATTTCTGTTTGGATCTTTACACGCACGCATATGTACATTGTGCGTGAACTTTAATAAATATGTGAGTCACTTAATTGCAGCAGTCCTCTATTCCATGCTAACCTTCGCTTTCACACGTGTAAACCCTCATGAACAATTAGCGTATTGCCCTCTAAGAAAAATTTATCTTATAAATTGGGGAAAACACAATGGCAATTAGGAAAAAAAATCAAAGGTAAATCTTCTAAATACACAATCACTTCTACCAAAGTAAAATAGTTTAAGCAAATTTAAACAAAACTTCCCCGTTTATATTACTAAGAGACACCCCCCAAAAACTAAACACACTCCCTTTAGAAAGCACCAACCACTTATGCACAAGCTTCAAGATCAATTACATAATACCATAAAAAAATGCCTCCAAAATCACCCATAACTTTATCAAAGAAGAAAAGATTCCAGCTCCCTTTTTTTAATAAGGAAAAACAAAAAGAATTAAATAGAACATATTATATTCGTTAAAAATACCCCCTTATCAAGTCCTGTCCTTGAGCAAGCCTGGGCTATTCAAAGAGCAGATTAAAAATCAAACCCCTAATTCTACAAATAGCATCCTGAAAAATACCCGAAGTTCAGAACCATATCAAAAGAAGGAGAATATCCTAGTTCTTGTAACTTTCTTTAAAAACAGACCAAAGTTTTTTGTAAATAGAAACTAAAACTTTTCACAAGTTATATTTGTACAAAAAACATCCGTCAGGGAGTTCTCTCTGAGGACCAGCCATTCAAAGAGTTAGCTTGAAGGTTAACTCACTGATTCTATCAAAAAAATTCCCGTATCACCCAAAGTCATACTGTACGTCATATTTGAGCATCTAATGCACTCACAATAGGACATTGTTTGGCAATGATATGTTGCTTTGTGCGGATTGGTATGAAATAAAAGGACCATTATTCTCCACTACATAAATGTTTCCACCATGAAGCCACGGAGGCCATGGAGGAGGCTGCAATAAGTTGCAAGTTTCTAAGAAAATCATACCTGTGAATCCTCAAGTTTTGAATAGCATTATCAAACTAAGTCTAAGAAGCAAACATATATGTCCAGGAAAGAAGTAACATAACTTTGCAGCCAGGACAAGGAACCTACAGAAGCAGGAAGCCTAGAATCGGTGCCACTGGTCTACTTAGGCATTTATTAACAAAGATTGTTCCAATGTTAAAGTTCAAACAAACCAATCCATAGTTATCCAACAAAAAAAAAACAAACAGCCATGTGTAAATACAAGTAGTCTACAATGGCATTTAATAGAAAAATCCCCCAACATCAAGGATTCATGTCAATTACCAAGCTCCAAATGCAAAATATTATTATTAATATTAATAACAATAATAATAATAATAATAATAATAATAATAATAATAATGATGATGATGATGATGATGATGATGATGATAATAATAATAATAAATTCAAAGAAAAATAAAAGTACCAAAAGAGAAAATATTGCCTGTAAAACCTCAAAAAGACTCCCAAAAAGTTGTTTTTTTGGAAATGTGTTTGAATGTCAGCGTGAAAAGCAATTGAAACTCATGTTTTATAGTTATAAAATACGCATTCTCAAGGCTAAAAAAGGAATGCCTAACACCAGTGATCAGCTAATGTAGGATGCTATGAATTCAGTATATGGACCATCAAAGTTCACATTCAAATTCACAAGATGTGTTCAATATTCTAAAAACTAAAAGGACATACCAATTACCAAGGTCTTAAAGCTCCCACCAATACAGAGTGTCTAGAGATAGGGATGAATTGATATATACAATCTTATGCCTGCATTACACAGAGGTTGTTTTCATGACTCAAACTAATGACCTCCTGGTCGCAATAGAGACAACCTAACCTATGAAATTTAAGATATAATTCCAATAGAAAAAAATCCTAAGCTTATGAAAAACTTAAAAAAATCAAAATAAGATGGTGCTAGAAACAGCTATAATAATTGGAAGGAATCGCCGTAAAACTAACAGACTCAAAGAATCTAATGTTTAGTAGATAGAATGAAAATAAATGAGCACACCTTGTTTATATACATCAAGGGCTTAGAAACTAGAAACCCTTAATAGCCGAACAAAACTACAAACCTGTTCTTCTAAGGCAAGAAATTGATTCTCTTTATCTTGAATATGCTCCTGGAAATCAAGAATTTTTTTAAGAAGCTGGGCTCTTTCAGATTCTGAGTTGTCACGTTCTCTTCTGCAGCACAAAAACATGAAGGGTTTAGAATTTCATTATAAAAGTTTTTTATAGAACACAAGAAGCACTACCGTCACTCCAACACTGAAACATCAAAGCTAGACATCTCTTCTAAGCTTATACAGACCCATACACTAAAGATTAACAAATTTTGGAAGTATATTGATGAAGAGAAGCAAAAAAATATTAAATAAACAGAATTACAGGTGTGTGCACACCCTGCATGAATATGCACCTACTTCTATAACAACGAGCCTATATACATATGTATGCATTTTTTATGTATAAATATCACTATTTACATGATAATGTGTACATACATATGACACATGCACCCTTGCATGTGTCTGATGTGTGTGATTATGCACGGGCGTGTGAGTTAGTGAACACGCCCATGCACAAGTCAATTCACCATTTCATGGAAAATATAAAAAATGACGGGCTTCAGCATATGTGCAACGTACTATCATGAATGGTGCAAAAAAAAGGAAGAGTATAAGGGTGCTTTCCCGGAGCATAATCTAGCTCCACCTATGCAATAGAAGTAACTTCATGACTGACAGAATGATAAAAGTTAAAATATTTGTCGTTTGTTACTCCATTAAGTGACAATTGAGGCCATGAATGTGTTTTTTTATGGATGAAAGTACATTGATAGTTTGGATAAAATTATATCTAAATTAGTCATGGAAGATGAAGATGTAGTTTCTCCGACACATGACTTCCCCATAAAAGCAGCTACTTCCTCTACTACAATCAAGATGTTCTAGTTAGAAAAACAATGTTAAAGTAATTTATTATAAACATTGAATAGACATCCTTGAAAAAAATAATGCTCATAACGAAGATGGTTAGACAAGGCAGCAGGTAGCACAATTTAAGCTACCAGAAATAACATAACCAAGCAAAACAATGGATCGTATGAGACGGAAAAATAATATAATAGCAATAGAGAGTAAAATGTCAAATTAGTTGAGCTAGATAAAGTAGTAGCAAAAAAATCTTCACAAAAAAGAGATACCAACCACTTAAAGGAGAATTCATTTTGCAAAGATCTCAACCGGAGCCTCCCAAACCTCTAACCAACATAACGAGTAATACACACTTGGATGGCAAAACAAAGCTAATACGACTATAAGTTGTACAAAAAATAATTATGCAAATATGGTAGAAATTAGATTCATCAATGAAGATGAAGATTGGCAAAACCCAAAAAGGAGGATTAAACATCATAATGACTTCGATGATGATGAGAATGATAAATAGTCAAATGAAAAAAGAGCAGGGAAAATCTATATGGGTTTCAAATATCAAAAACTTGTCCAAATCATTTAACAACTCACAATAGGAAAGTTGGCATTTATTCAATATAACATCTATTGAATATTGATATGCAAAATAAAAATAAATGGTTAAGTCATTTTAATTATCCCAAAACAAAAAAAGAGGGAATAATGGCATGCCTGAATGTCGCCAACTCTTTATTTTGTTCCCTGAAGAGATCCTCTTTAGCCCAAACCTGAAAGAGAAAAGTAAGAGAACAGGTGATGCATTTTCAACATTGTCAGCAGAGGAAGAAGGTAACTGGGAAATTAAAAAAACAAACAAACAAACAAACCGCTTCGTTGTCTATCTTAACTGCACGCAATTCTATATTCTTCTCTTCCAAGTTCAACTCTAATTCTCGCACTTCTTGTTCTCTTTCTTGTAATTGCTCCTGCACATTGGTTATAGATGACAGGCATCCGAGAAAAAGAAGCAGATCAGCAGAAAAACAATTTTCTTATTAGTACCACAATTTTGCGCATAGAATAATAGGATAACATAAGGTAAGTATGGTAGTATGCCAAGAACCTCCTACTTCTACTAGGTAATATTCATCACAGTCTAGAGATAAATAAATCATCAATGTCTCGCAAAAGGCACACAAGCTACAACAATCATACTACAATAAAGAAGCCATCACACTTCCAAGACTTGAGAAATGAGTTATTATATTTTGAATACTATAAATGAGTTAGTCTTTAATAATGAGAACTTGAAAAAAAAATGATGTGCAAATAAAAATAAGAGTTGGAGAAATAAAATGCTAAGTTGACTGAATTTAGATGCAGTGAGTTAAATTCTAGAGACATAAATATTAAAAATGAAGATGATGATTAAAAAAAATATAGGGTAAATGATTAAGGGCAATAAAACCAATAATAGAAAAAAGAGCATGATTGATGATGAAGATGGAATAAAAAGTAGTAAAGATTTAATTATCACTTGGCTATACATATTACAAACCTTATTTTAATAACAACAATTTAAAATATACTATTCATTAAGCTTTGCAAACTTAGAATGAAATGAAACTCGATTTCATTAATTTTTTTAAACATTATTTAACGTAATGGTCATTTTAAACTCAAAAAAATCTCATAATTAAATAAATTTATAAGAAATACAAATATTTCAATTATAGAACTAGCTAAACTTATGGTGTCGTCTACAACCTCGATCATTGAATATCAATATCACCTTAAGTTCATATGTTACTTCTAAAAAAATTAATCTAAACAATCATACTACAAACTAAAGGAGACAATATTATACCATGGCCATCAAATAGCGGCGCCTCGTGAAGAAACCCATTGATATTGACTCCTAAAGCACATATGTCATGACTCATGAGTTGTAGGAAGGACATTTCAATATAGGCAAAACCTAGCTAAACATTAAGAAAATATTAATAATCTCAATGAAATAAGAGTTCGCATGATTTGTGAGAGGGTGTACAATGAGCAACATTGTCAAACTAGCAAACCACAAGTATAATTCCTACAATTCATTCCATATACTAAACCACCAAAGACAAAGCATAATCCTAATCTTTTTGAAGAGATTATCAAGACTTCAAAAGGCCATGAGTACTTATATATGGAGGATTTTCCGCAAAAATAACATGGAAGCATCATGGGTTGTCTTGACCTATCACATCAAATAAAGATACTAGGTTCTTAGGTCACTTCTAAAAAACCTATAGATGATGACATACAAAATTACAAAAATAATACAAATATCTGACCAATCAAAGCAAGGCGCACATGATGCAAGGGTACAATGCAACAATGCAATGGATCCTACCAATTTGGATGAAAGTTTTTTCAATGTACACATCGAATCATGCATTGATCTACACTCAAGTAGCCCTTCAAGGTTTGCTTTGATTTTCTATCTCAAGGTCATTTTCATTTGAAATTATCTATATGCGTGTAGCCTAGAACGACAAGAAGGCTCCGGTTTTCAAATCACAAAACCTTAAGAATAGCATTCAACAAGCACATGAGAAATTCAAGTAACATCGAAGAAAATCAAGGCTTTAACAAATCAATTACGAAAGAAGAACGAAGAGACGGAGAGCCAAATTTGGTGAAGTTAAAAAATTCCTATACAACAATAAACAATAATAAATCTTGGCGAATTAGAAAACTTCACTACAAAAACAAAAGGACGGTTTTGGCTATGCATTTCTAAATTTTAGAAAACACAATTATAATTTTATTCATCACACATTGTTTTGGCTATACAACCCTCCATTTATAATACATCTCACATCCTTCTGCTTCCTAATTTTTAAAAAAGATAGAAATATGATTATTTATCATCCAAAAAAGATAACACAATAAGCAAACATTAGGAACTGAATAAAGCAAACAAACATTAAGATTTTCCAATCAAAGCAAATTTCCATGGAATTTTAAAAAGCATATTAAAGCCTAGTCATCCTATTCTAAGAGCTCAATCCAAAATTTTTGGCAACAAAGCTAGGACCTATGCGTGTAAGTTTGAGCCTATATAAATCTCCTCGAGTAAGAAAAAAATCAACCTAGACATTTTAAAATGCTTTCAAGATCACAATATAGTAATGAAAATGAGATATTAAAAGTGGTGGAAGCATTATAACCTCCATATAGCTCAATTTTGCAAGCATTTTCAATGATGTATCAAATTACTCACAAAAGTCCATCAACCCTTGGTTTGAATTTAACTAACATACAATAATAATAGAAATCTATCTTTTCTTATGTGAATTCACATTAAATCTCCTTCCTTGAAAGTAGCTTTCAAATCTTGTTGGCCTTTTTCTGATACTCGGCATTTTGCTTTCCAATTTATCATGAACTGGTCTGCGTAGCTTTTTAATCTTTTCAAATCTTTTATTTGCATCAGTATTAAACCCAATGGTAATGGATTTTGGAATGTGATCAATAAGAGTGATTGGGTCATGGCCATACTTGACTTCAAATGGTATTTAACTGATGGATTGGCTTGGTGATTTTGCATACGAAATACCACTTCTGCAAGAATTTCTGAATTTGATCCCACTTTTGAATATTCTTGCCACATAACAATTCAGCCAATGTCTCAAACTATGGTTCATAGCTTATGTCAATCCATTATTTTGCAGATAAACAGCCAACTTATATTGCACTTTGGTTCTCAGCTTTCACCACAGGGCCTTCCAAAAGAAACTCATGAATATAATATCTCAATCTAAAATGATAGTCTTCAAAATGCCTAAAAGCCACACAATATTGTTAAAGTGGAGGAAGAGAATATGTGTAGCATCATTCATTTAGTGGCATGGCATAAACTAAGCCAGCTTGGAGAATCAGTCCATGATCATTATGATTGAGTCTTTCTATTGTTGCATGCAAAGAAGGCCAACAACAAAATTCATGCTAACTTTGATCCACGAGGAATCAAAAACTAGTAAAGGAGTATATAATCTATTCTTCTGCCCACAAGTTTTGGTGATGTGACAGGCCATACTCGTATTAATATGCCAATCAACATATATATATGGTAATAGCTAATAAAAATTATCTTGCACTCGTTTTAAGGCCTTACCTCATCCAATGTGTCTCGCTAACCCTCCAACTTAGTATTCAATTAGAACAACCTCTCACCAAAAACACATGAGGATGCAAAGTCGAACTCCCTAGAATATATAGTGATTATGAAGGTGGAATTATCAACATACTATTTGCACACTACTATTAGATTCCTCCAAAATCAACAAGTTCAAATCCTACCATAATTCTTTCACAAGTTCAAATCCTACCACAATTGTTCAAATCCTATCAAATTCCTCCTGAAAATTAAGTCTTGGATAAAACTCTTTCACAAGTTCAAATCCTACCACAATTGTTTGGAGCATTGTAAGCAACAAATTTCCTCAACTTAACACATATGCCAATTTGGTTTGAGCTCCAAATTTGTGCTTGAGTATAGTTGATGATTAAAGAAACTCAACCCAAGCAACCTGGAACCACTTTAGCTTGTTCTACATATACAAATACATGAGAGCTTCATAGTCAAAGAACAACGTAAACTCTCTAATAGCAAGAAGTAGCTGAAATGGCTTAGTGCTCGGAATATGGCATGGAACACCTCATATGGGGAATATTTTATCCACGACTCATTAGCTTTTCAATGAAAATTTTGAACAGGCATCCTCCTTGGCTTAACAGAGCACTAATGGCCACATTCAAGGCATCACAATCCACCTCAAAGACCATGTTGAAATCAAGGAAAGCTAAAAATAAAACTTTAGTACTTTATTGATTTAGGATTTCAAAATTTTCTTGTAGAAACTTTACCTTGTTTGTAAAGAAGTGACGCTTCTTTCGAAAGGCATACAACTTTGGTTCTTGGAGGGCTATAAAAATTTGTTTGAGGTGATGTAGAGTTTGTTCAAGTTGTGGCTATAATATAACAATCATTGAAGTAGACCAAAACAAAGTTTCCGAGGTCAGATCAAAAGACTTAGTTCATAAGACACATTAAACAGTCTAACGGCATAATTAAGCGCTCATAAAGCCAATCTCCTATTTAGAATGTATTTTTCCACTCATTGCTCTAAATCTCAAACAATATGGCGATAGTTGCTAATTAAATCAATATTGGAGAAGATTGATGATTCATCCAATTGGACAAGCAAGCAATGCAATCATGGAATTGAAAACTAATATTTGATTTTGATCATGATGATTGTTTGACTATCAATGCACATGTACTATGCTCCGCCATCTTGCTTAGGAATGAGTAGAGCTAGGACTACACATAGACTCAAACTTTCACTTACCAACCCATTGGCCATCAACTCACTAACTTGTTGATACAACTCCTCATGTTCCTTAAGAGTCATGAGGTGGTTTTGTTGATGTAAAATGGCTACTCTAAGAACAAAGTCAATGGCATTTTAGATGTCACAATAAGAGGAAAACCTATGGGTAGCTTGAGAAGGAAGTTTCTTAATATTCTTGTAGCAATACTCAGATCTCCTCGGGATGGGATTCATCATTAAAACTTTCTTCCAAGACAATCATGGGCTAGGCAATCTTCATCTCCTCAATGGAGCGTATAAACATCATCTTAAAAATCATGGTTTTTTCTTAGATATTTTCAAAGAGTTCCTATCGAAAAGGCATCAACATGATTCCCATACCATTTTTATCAAATAACTAGGTGCACTTATAGTTTCCATGGATTGTATGTCTATCAAATAAGCATCCATAGGCATGATGTCAAAACAAACCTCCTCTTGGAATTTTTTCTAGTTGAGAAGTGAACCAGACATCTCTTCATCATCTTTATTTCATTACCCTTTCTCTAACACAATAACATGTAAAGCTTGAAATGCTCATGGGTTTGCAAGCACAGCTTCTCCACCACCTTTGTGGGTATGAAATTCTCACAATTGCCCCCACCAATAAAAATATTGCAAACTTTGCCTTAAACGATACAGTAAATATGAAATGCTAAGCCGCAACAAATTCTCTTCCTTTACTATCATTGTGTTTAACACTCAACACACAAGTTTATCACCTTCATCTGCACATATCACATAATAGTTGTGACAATTGTAGGTGTTGTGTCCAAACCCATGGCAAATGAAACACTTCCATGTTTGGAGTGACAAGTTGGTTTGTTTCTATGATTGGAGTTTGTTTTCTTGAAACTAAAAGTCCATATCGTGGGCCTACTTGTAACATCCATATGAAGGTCGTCATCCTTGTTGACAATCTTGAGGCATTGAATATAGAGTTTCATTGTTGTCACTCTATCTTCTTTGTGAGCTTTATTACATAAGAGAATATCCAATAATGTTGTAATTGGACTAAGTTTATGATTCTTGGGTGCAATCCTCCAAAGAACTTAACAATGATATGCTATTATGGTTCAAGAGCATCAAACTTATCATAACTTGCTGAAAATTAGCACTACTAATACTTATCGATGGATAAATCCATTTATTAAAGATTATAGAAGTTAAGGAACACATCTTGTCGATAGTAATCTGATAGAAAACATCCACCAAAATAAAGAAAACTTGCAGGAAATTGGAGAAAAACAGCAATATTGAGCAGCTTTTGATGAAAAACAATAGGAAAATCCCAAAAAAAAATAGCAATGGATACTCACTACTAGTTGAAAAGAAACGATTTGATACAATGAATCTTCAATTCAAGAGGAAGATTCCACTCTCCAAATCCCTAGCCCAAGCTTAGAGCCCCAAAAGCAAACACAAGAGATCTCAAATTTCAGCTCAAATTCAAGATAACCCTAACCCTAGCCAAAAGATTAATACTTAAAGCACAATACAATTATTTAATGTTGAATCATTAAACAACCCTCCACATTTGAATTTTCCCCCCTAAACACAAGCCCCCATCAATGCTTGCATTAATGCTTGGGCCCCAACCATGTGCTGCCCTCCCTTCCGATTTCAACCCTGAGCACGCCTCCTGTAGCAAACCGGTCCAATTAGGATCGGTTCAGGTTGGGCCCTAACATAATCCAATTAGTTCCACTAAAGTTCTTTATTCATCATTTCAAGTTTAGTAAATCTTGCCCCTACCTTCGCCAAGGCATTGTTGTTTCAAATTCTCCCACCACATAGTGGACTTTTTAGTTTGATTACGAGTTTACGACAAGCTTCACCTTTTGCTCATGGGTAACATCTACTTTTTTTTAACATCTATTCAATAAAGGCATTGAGTCGTACTTCAAAATATGTAAAACCCCTCTAAATCTAAAGGCCAGGTATTGTCTACTTGGTTCATAGTAATAGTGTCGTAACTCTTCTTCTGATTCGTTATAAATCATTTGATGGAATGGATTTTCCTCCTCAGCTTGATCCTCTTCAGATTTCGTTGTGTTCCAAATGTTAAACCTGCTTGTAAACCATGAGGCATGTATGAACTCATTGGATCTCATGTTGCATGTCATTCATCATAAGTTCTCGTATTGGGCTGTGATGTTTCCTTTAGAGTGGTATCTTTAAATCTGGGCTCTAATACCAAGTTGACATTAGAGATAACAAATGTATGGAAAAAATATATAATTAGAGAATAACGGATTAAACGAAAGTCGATCATGACGAGTAAGAAAACTCCACTACAAGTCTACAACAACAAAAAGTGCTCTAAATTTTATAAAATGCAATTGGCATAAAAAATTCTCTTTGGTATTATAGTTACCCTCCATTTATAATAGATGTCATATCTCTCCTTCCAAATATTTAAATAGATAGCAAGCTAATTATTACTCTCCTAAAAGGGCTAATACATCAAGCAGGCAATCATGCACTAAGACTTTCCAAACAAAACATATTTCAACAGATTTGTTGACAACAGCCTAGCGCCTAGGCGTTTAGTCAAGGATTTTGGATAACAAAACTAGTGCCTAGCACCAATGCACATATCCATATCATCGAGGTACATTTGCAATGCATTCCAAAAACCTATAAGGCTGGACATTATGAGAATAGATCACCATATACTTTCCTATAAACTGGCATGGATTAGATGCATTTGAATGGGAAAAATCTCAAATGAAAGGCAAGACATTGAAGTTAGTTTTCTAAATTATAAGGAAAAAGGTAGAAAACATGTTCAATTTGGACTTCCTTGAGATATGCCCAATATTATGTGACAAATTTAAAAAAAAATTATCTCCTTAAAACTTCAATAAGGACTAATAGAAACAAGCAATACATCCTTTGGTAGATAATGTCAACATACCCCGTGTGTAGTAAGAGGGGGAATATTACTCTTTTTTTTTTCTTTTTTTTTTCTTTTTTTTGAGAGGGAGAGAGAGAACCGCCACCAGACCCCTCCCAAGACCTAGCTTTGGTGGGAGCTCCAGACACAACGTATGACTTGGATCACTGGTGCTAGAAGTAGTCATAATTAGAAAGAGAGCTGTGAAGAACGGTCAACTGGCAAAAAAGGCAGTATGATTCTCTAAAGAAGTTAGGGAAAGGAGGTTTACTGGTCTCCAATTCTAATATCAAGGGAAACATAGAATTTTTCACCAATGTTGCTAATAAATCCATGAAAATGTGTGGAAAGTGAAGGGCCAAAGAAGACGATGCAAATAATCGCCTCAGTTACTGTACAGCAGCGAGGATCAGCAGGACAGCAAGAGAATTAGAAGAAACATGATCCAACAAGTATCTTCTTCATCAAAAGGCATAACTAAGCTCACAAAGGGATTTCACCCGGTTCGTTTAGAGAAAGGTATAAACAGCGTACCAAAACCCATCAGCAAGACAAAATAAAATCATAAACCCAAAAAAAACAGAAAGATATATCCGTGGCATGATAAATCATGAAAGCAAGAAATGGGTAAGACACCTTCAGCTTTGCAGCAGCATCTATTTGCTCCTTAAGCTGAGACCGGTAACTATTATGCATGTCCGATATCTTAGAACTCGCAATTACTTGCGCTCTTAGTTCAATCTCCATATGTTGTAGATCCTCCCTCTGCCTCGATATCTCTTGAATTCTACGCTGCAAATTGTCTTCTTTCAAGCCCTCGCCATTAACGGTTATCGAGCAGGAATCCACATTAACAGGCCCGGTTCCCTCCTGCACCTTCCCACATTAAACACTTATCTTCAGCGGGCTTCAGCCCCAAACAATTTCATTCAAGCATGACAAAAACAAAACCAGCAATTTTTTGTTCCAGTAGAATACCTCATATATTGTTCTCTCATCAGTCTGCACCAACTTAAGGTTCTCTGACTCCTGTAAACGAACCATACACTAACAAACAACCCCAAACTTAAATGCTGGCAAGAGAAACAGTGGTTCCGTCTTACCTCGCCTCCATTTTTCCGAAAAGAATTCTCCGAGATGGCACGCCATTCCTTCCTCGGCGGAGTGTGGGAGGAAGGCACGGCGAGTGATCCGCTGCGGCCAGCGGCAGCCTCCATTCTGATCGCCAAAAACCACCTGAATCTTCAGCTAAGCTACGCCTCGCTATGTTTTGGGCCGCTGGTGCCCAATCCAGTGCCGCGATTAAGAGATCGGTGGTATCAAAAGGAATCTCGAAAATTGGAATCTAACGGCGATATCAAGAAACCCTAACCTAGACTTAGAAGGGAGAGAAACAGAGAATAGCTGTCTTAGGTTTACTTGGCGATTAATATGTACGAATCCAGCCCCGACGAAAAATCTGGATTTTCTCTGGCAGAGTGGCTTTGAGGAGATCGGGAAGAGCCACCTAAACAATGACAGGTTCTGCCTGAATGCGGAATTGGAGGTGAACCAGGCACGGGAGATACAGGCTTGCTAGCATTCAGCTCCACCTTTGGCTAAATTTAAATATTTATTTTTATATGATTTAGATAATAAAATATAATACCAGCACATGCCTTTGACTTTATCCTATTATATGAGTCGATCCTATGAATCATATAATATTATAAAAAATATTTAAATATAATTAAAAATATTATTTTTGATATTTTTCTAACTAAATCCTTTAAGATTTATGCTTCATCAAAAATTGTTTTGATTGTGCACAAATCACAAGGCATATTTAAATTGAAAATTTTCAAAATTAAATTGTAGATCATTTGAACTCCAATTTCAACAATGTTATAGTCAAATTGAACATCTCAAAGAGACGAACTTTTATTTGGTCCGGTCACAGGACGTAGCTCTACGTTTGGCCGTCAGTAGAATCGCGTCACGCGTTCTCACTATTTACCGCGCGCCCCAACAACCTGACCCAGAACGGACCAAGGATGGCTCGGTATTTCTCGATTTTGCTAGGTATTGCTCGGTATTGCTAGGTATTGGTCGATTTTGCTCGGCAATAACCAATACCGAGCAAATACCGAGAAAATACCGAGTAATACCGAGCAATACCGAGTTGTACTGAGTTTTTCTAGAACGGTATTTCTTGCTCGGTATTAGTCTTCACAGAATGGTATTTTTTATTATTGCCAAGCAATATCTAGCAATACCGAGCAAATACCGAGTAATACCTTGCAATACGCGAACATAGCAATCCCGGGTTCCAGTCCGGGTCAAGTCGTCGGGCCGCGCGGTAAAGAGTAAGAGCACATGACGACATGTTATTGGCAGCCAAACATAGCTCTACGTCCGGTCAGAGGACGTAATAATTGTTCTAAAGAGACGAACCCAACAACATCAAAATAGGTCTAATTTGAGCCCAAATGAGTTGAAATTAGGGGCCCGAAGCTTTGGAATTAATTTTAAAAAACCTTTGTTGTCTAGAATAACATTTGAGCTCATCATGTATTTTAGCATTCTGGTTAAGTTTGTAGTTTCTTAATCCAAAATTTTGTAATTATATTACATTTATATTTAAAATTTTATATAATAACTCCAAATAATAATTTTTTTCATAACAATTTCACAACAAATTATACACATCAATCCAAATAGCCTAAATAGACCCATATTTGCGGAAAATAAATTATAAATGATTTCACATCCTTATATTACAATTTTATAAATTGTTCGAGACTTACATTCTTTGGCTTCATGTTTTGATTAATATTGATGATATATTTATAAAATTTTCTTATAAAGTTAAGATTATATATAAGGTTGGTAGATTAGGATTTTGATTGCACCTATAAATTGCATTTCACACAAAATCGATAAAGTACAATAAAACAAGTTGTGGATAAGAAATTTTTATATGTAATATAAGAAGAAAAAACTACAATGACTATCACAAGTAAAATAATTTCTATTAGTAATGGTTGTGATTTGCAAAAAACACATGATTAGGATGGAAAGGAAGCACAATTATAGGGTGATGAATACAGAAGCACCAAAAGCTCGAGAATAACACAAAAAATACTTTGGATTCTCCTCCTAAAGGTGAAGGTAGCATAAACTTTAGGCAATATATGAGATGGTGCAAACAAATGAAGGATGTTATTCCCGATGGTCAGGCAACCCGCCTTTTAGGAGTGAGATGACAACATTGGTTACATATAAGATTGTATAATGTGTTCAAGGAGGACACAAAGGATGATCGGGTTGGTTCTCAACCAAGAGGGATGGCAACACGATCTTTAATGTGGCAATTATGGATGAACAAGAAGGTTAACGAGTCATTTAGACACTTAGGACATTCCTTCTCCTATATATGGAGATGCATTGACTTAAAATTAGCACATAAGGTGGTGCACAATTCATTAAAGTGATTGAGAGCAATATGGATAACCCTCCTTAAAATGGTGAAGATGACATTATCTTAGCATTGTAATGAACGTTTCAACATTATTTAGATTAATTTGTAGCTACTATTTTGGATTTGATAAGACTTGCATGCTTATTTAACAATTAATTTTTTTATATGATTTTTTAGATTTTAAAAGCTAAATTTTATGAATATAACACATACAACAACAATAACAACAAGAACAACAAGCCTTTATCCCACTACGTGGGGTCGGCTAGATAAATCATTTTTCTCTATTGGGTCCTATTAAGAGTCAAATTCTCATTTAAATCTAATAAGGAAATGTCATTTCTAATATTTTCTAACCAAATCTTTTTTGGCTTACCTCTACCTTTCTAAACATAAACCAAATCTAATACATCTACCTTCTTAACTGAGTCATCGGAAGGCCATCATTTTATGTGACCAAACCATCTAAGGTGACTCTATCTAATCATATCTTTCACAGGAGCTACTCCAATCTTTTCACTTATATAACACATAAAAGGCATAAAGTTTAACACATACATAATGTTTCACATAATATTAAGATATAAAAATCAATTAAAATTTTCTATATTATGGTCTTCATTTGACTCTTGGTGAAAGGTTCTTCATGCTTAGCTGCAAGCTGCCAAGATTGATCCATTGCAGTTGGACCCTTTTGTCATCCCGTGCTTCTTATTTTCCTAATGCTACATAGAAAAATACATTATAGAGGCAAAATTTATATAAGGCAATACAATCTTTAACCTCCTAAACTAGATAACAAGCTTTTGTCCAATAAGTGTTCTAAGCAATACATGCAAAGAATCTTGAGGATGTTTTAAGGGGGGATTTGAACCCTTCCCATCATAAGGATGGAAACTAAGGGAGATTCCACCAAGTGAAAGGCTCAACAAAGGCTTATAGTTTGTCAAAAAATGCACACTCTAATGGCACAAAAAGAGAGAACAAGACTTATTGTGCCTGATGAATGAGTTTAAAGGGGTTAAAAGGTGAGAGATTTCTATTCCTAAGTGCTAACTGCATGTTGATAGGCATATTTTTTGTAAAAAGAAATGTATAGTAAGTCTATTTATAAACATAAAAAATATTAAGATAATAAGATTAAAAGCCAGCATATTGTCAACAATCCCACCAACCCCAAAATTTTGTAACCACAAGAAAGAGTCATGGCACATTTTTTTTTGGCCCAAGGCTTTGGCAATAAAAGAGAGTCGCAAGGCATAGTTGGCAATGGTTGGCAATTTACCCCATGAAATTCTTTTGGAAAAGCATCATGCATAAGATATTTGTTGAAAGAAGACATATTCAGCATGTAGAAGGATTCACTTGTATCGTCCTCATTTTGAAAAAATGAAATACTAGTTTAGAACATAAGCGCCAAAAAACGGTCAAATCAATACATTGATTCTCAAGTATCAATTATAGGGGCTAGTTGGCATTAAAAGAGTGCTAGCAAGAAAAAATGGTGTTAAAGGTAAAAGTACTAAGATGAATGACATTGATAATCAATTAAGAATAGAAGACATGCATATCACTAATAAGATTCTAGAAAGGAATACATCTTGAGAAGCCAATGAGAAGGTGGACTTCTCAATATTGGATGTTTACAAGCCATATAGAAAGAACTTTTCTAGGGAGAATTTGTTAAGAAAAGATGCTTCTTAGGAAAAGGAGTTGGAAAGGGAGACTTCAAATGACAAGTCTTCGGAGAGGAGTGCTTCACAAGACAAGTCATTGTGAGCAGAAACATCTTAGGGTAAATCATCGAGATGGGAGACTCTCGAGATGAGGTGTTGACAAGGCACCAAGAAAGGAGAATTGCAGTAAAAAGTCATCAACAAGGGAACCTCTTTCAATAATATGACAATAAGATAGAAGTTTTAGAAGAAATTACTTAGAAAGAAGATTTCTTTAGAAAAGATAATGACAAGAAACTTAAAAGAGAGACTTCCATAGAGAATTTATTATGTCTTGCACTGAAAAAGGAGAATTTTTTGGAGAAGCTATTAAGAAAGGATGCTTCTCTTTGAGAATTATTAGGATTAAGAAGGGAGACGTTTTTAAGTGAAGTCATTTAGAAGCCATCCAAAGTTTTTAAACTTAGGATGGTACAAAATGTAAAGGAACAAGCAAAATACTAATAGAATGTTAAGATATATATCAGTTAAATAATCACTTATCAAGGTTCATTTTGTTGCTTAGTGATATAATCATAAATCTATAAGGGCACAAACTTCAAACCACTATGAAGTCTCAAATATTTAAAAAACTACTCACAAAGAGTACTAGTAAAAAGAAATTATTGATTGCTAAAATTTGTTTTCAATCCATCTACAATCATCTAAGTGGTCTCGAGTATGACAGACAAAAATGATTACAATAGAGCAGTGTAACCGACAAAAATGAGTTGCTATTTCCATGGCTCATCAAATTAAAGCCATAACAACATAATTCTTCTGATTAATCTAAGTGACACAACTTCATAGAAGTTAATTTGCATTTGCTTGTGACATATTCAATATTTCATCAATTCCTAATCCTCACTCCGAAGACATATATCACAGTAGAAAGGAGAATTAAATTGTTGTAGCAGAAGGATCAGCCCTGTCAAGCTTCAAGAGTAGTTCTCAGTATCGAGAAATGAGAAGGAAAATTACGACATAAAAGAAGTCCAAATTTAAATATATTACAATAATGCATAAGAAATTTGGTCAAATGATAGAAAATAGAATAAGCCTAGAAATGGTACATTATACGCTAATATTTAAAATCAGTCATTCACGTTGCTTAAGTCTTCATTTGGGACAGCTTTCTTATTGCTTCTTAAAGCATAAAATTTTGATAGTAAAAAGTTATTTTAAGTAGTAAGAAAGCTGACTCAAACGAAATCTAAATTTTCCACCTTAACATTTCTGAATTTTTTTTTAAGCCACATATTAATTCAAAACCACTCACTTGGCAATAAGCAATTAATAGGGTTTATAAAAAGATTCAAAGACAAAATAGATTAGCACTTCAACTGACACACTTACAAAGGCAACAGCGAGTTATGAGGTAAAGCCAGAAACTTTTCATGGCTTGTGTATTTGGCAT